TCCGATATTGCCTTACCGTACGATATAACAACAGAAAGAAACGCGTCTGAGTATAACAACGAATAATGTATAGGGGGTTCTACTTGTTCAGAGAAATAGTGCCCCCTCAATACTGTTCTATGAAGTTCCAATATCGTCAAAGTACGCTACATAATATTTTTTTGGGCACTGGCGGGATTTGAATCAGCGGCTGCTAAGCTCCTCAGGCCAGATATTTAGCCGTTTAGGTCATCCCGCTAACAACGATGGTAAATTCTACCACATCGTTGATATGGCCAGTTGTGTCACCTAAGGAAACGGCTATTCGGACGAAAGAATTGCCTAGTAAAAAAAAATCTAATGAAGAAAAATTGTTGTAGTTGTACATACGTGAGCCATAGGAATGACAGGCACGTAAAGGGAGCCTAACGTCGAAAATCGTTAGAAGTCTAAATATGTGCTGTGCTATCCTGTACGGACTTTTGTCGGCCGCCCGCCAACACTCGGATAACGTCTATTCTTTGGGAAGTTCTAACAGATGCACTCTTTAAGGCCGACATTGGACAGCTATAGGCACGTCTATATTTTCATCTTGTTTACCGATAAATTCTGGTATCTCACATTCGGCTATTATCTTTTAAAAATGAAGTTCTTCTCACACCTCCGTCGATCGAACTGTCCGTTTGAATTTTGCCCGAGAAAAATGGAACTTGCCGCTGTTGTGCTAAAATAGCAAGCTTCGCGAAGAGCTGCCATTGATGCAAGTGGCTAATACAAGCTCCGTACGCTTATCAGGGACGACATTTTTCCTTTGTTTTTTGTGGGTAGATCGTCTGATCTTCAATGAGTAATTGTATAGTGGGGCATAATAATGTCAACTGCCAGTAGCCCTCTTGGCAGGACTTTAAACATTTAAAAATTTGATCATGAAAAATTACAGTTTTTGTTGACAATTTTAGTAGGAATCTGATTTTGCGATAAAAAAATCTTTCGTTCAACTTTTATCTAAATTTGAAATGTTTATTTTCAAAGCATATCTATGTTTAGATTTTTATAATTTACACGCTTTTAGAAATACATGATACCCTGAAAATGTTTAATATTTTGTTAAAAGTTGTATGATTTATGATAAGAAGTCATTGTTATAGTAAATTCCAGAAAGAATACCTTGTAACGGTCGTTCTATATACATCCAGCGGGCACTTTAAAACTTCTCACGTCTCCCAGGCTGGTGTAGACTACTCGAACAAAGGTACTGTAGATTCATCTTTTTCGGTAACAAAGGTGGCAGACGAAAAGAACGGACAAACTGGGCACGGGACTATCAAGGACACGGCTAGTGCAGTCTGGGCTCCCCCGTAGATTACACAGACAAGTGTATTCAGTTCACTTTGCCTAACTATAGAAAACTACCAATAAATGCAACGCTAAATTACACTTTTTGTTGTTGAAACCTAATGGTGAACGCTTACTGGAATTCTGCTTTTTATAAAAGACGCTTAGTATTTATATATAATTGCGGTTAGATATAATTGATAAAGGTAAAAATGACAAACGCCCAAGAAAGTAGAAACGTTATCATGCATTCTCAGGGGCTGCACACATTGCTTAGGTTTAGGTTTGCCAGGTATGATTAAGTCATTGCGGCCTAGCTCCAATACAAGATATACACCATAATGTAAATCAGTTAAGATTGGGCTAGGTAGAATCTCAGTAACATTACTCATTGCCTAAATGAGCAACGACAAGCAATCCTCAACGCACGAAGAAATTTCTAATATTAGAAGTCGGTTCAGTTTACCCTATTTAATTAATCTAAAAGAATATTTATTATTTAATAAAATGAAAAGACCAGCCGCGCGTACGGAAGGCCGACCAGGTCGTTAGCAGCGCGTCTCCAGTTTATTTACACGGTTCAAGCAAGATGCTACGAGTCAAGTCAAATCAAGAACGGTTCCTTAAAAAGGTCGGCACGTGGTGACACGTTTAAAGTGAACACGCTGACTGCCTCTAGCGAGCCATTAAAAGGTGTGACAGAAATCCCAAGTGGAATTAGCTTTGAAAACTCGTTTTGGCACTTGATAATATATGTCACGTACATGAAACCCAGAGGAGGCTCCTTATTTTAAATTTAACATAATGTTTGAGTTCAGATAATAATTATATAATTGGAAAGAGGATCTGCGTGACGCATATTATCTACGACTCTCAGCTATATCTACTTCCACTGGAATAGGTAGATGATATCTGTAAAATCCACTGTATGGATCCGTAACGATAAGAAACGTAACAAAGAGAAATTGTACAATCGCCAAAGGAACCACGCTGTTTCTCCCTTAATTAGTTTTATTCGTGCAGCCTAAGCAGGCGACTGAGGCACAGTAAGCTTTCTTGCTATCTGAGGCTACAAAACAACTGAGCCTGATATTAGCTATTTAGACCCCTACACCGAGAGGGAATAAGCACAGATATGATATTATAGCGCAGTAGACAGGCACAGTTATTATACCTTTGTGAATGTAACTTTATATAGGCATCTAAACGTAGAAATAAATTCATAGAGTTTTAAGGGAATCTCGTTTTGGGGTCCCATACCGAAGACGACAGACTAAAAGCATACTTTAATACTATTGCTTTAGCAATGCATTCAATCCTTAGTAAGCTTAAAATCACCGTTACAACTTCCGAATTTTTGACTATAACATTCAGCAATCGAGAGCGAGGTCTCTCGCAGTGAAGTTGGAGGTCACGGATTGAACTTTCGTCTCAAAAGATACATGCCTTTTTTGTTGCATATTTATTCTTCAGCCTTTTTCAACAATCTGAGAAATTACGATCTGTACTGTCGACCTCTATACGTGGAGAGCACATGCCGATAAGGATGCCGTTGAACTTAGTATCATTACTTAAGCTACACAGCTAACGTTATAAAAATTAACTTTACATTAGAATCTGTTACATCCAGTACGTATGTTCGATACTGCTACGTACCTTCAAGGACGCGACTGACAACCGGGCCGAGCTATCGGTTTGTAGCACGTCACAGATGTAATTTCGTCTGTAACTTTCGTTCCTATGCTAGTTCTTTTGGAGGACGCATGCGTTACGGCACAGGCTGGAAATGACCGTTTAAGCAAGTCATAGCCAACGTTCCAGTACTGAGCATCGTGTGCAGAGGTGTGCCATCCCAACTTTTCCGTCACTCTATTACAAAACGTGTAGCTCGATGCAATAACGACAGGACAACGTATCGGATTGTGTTTCCGAACCAAAACACCTTCGCAATGTGTTCGCCTTGATAAACACGCTCGTTTCCTATCAATCACGTAAAAAACGTTTATCTGATTTGCCGAGATATCTGCTTACAAGGCGTTCATAAGGCAAAATGAACGTTTTCCAATAAGCAACAACAGAGAACAGAATTGAGCTCGTTCGAGCAGCTTTTATTTATAACCGAATAACAGACGAACGTATTTGGGTTAGTCACACAAATATGCCTGGTGATCAACTATCGCTAACGAAAATAATGTTTAAAATTACGTTGTTTAATACGAAGGGACCGTACATCTGCTATATATATATAGAATAATGTAACGCTGCTAGAAACGGTCATGTGATTTAGATATCGTGGAAGTTAAGCAACGATTGAGCTTCTTTCGGGTGATGCTTGCAAGAGCTTTCAACGCTAGAGTCAATTGCCTAGGTAAATTGGGCGCAAAAATGTGCCCCTACAAGCAGTGCGAATGCGTATTGGTAAATAGTAATCGTTTCCAAGTGTGGCCATGGCAAATGCTGCTTGTTCCAGCTAAATACCAAGGACTTGAGCTCTTATTTCGCACGTTTTGATGGTACCTGCCATGTTCACTATTCTTGTATAGCAAAGTTACCTTTAGGATCAGGAAAGGGGAGCGTTTATTTGCCACGAGTACCTACCCGTACGATCCAATTGTAAATTGTAGAAAATAAATGAAACAATAAATATAGAATGTCAAGCGAAATAAAAAATAGATTTCAACAAATCAGCACGTGAACAAATGTTAGAATTGAATAAAGTTTGTCGACATCGGGAAAATATGCAGCGCTGGAATGGCGTCCGCTCACTTAAAATCAACATGCAGAGTATTCTAGTTCTGATATGTATATTTCAAAATAACATTTATGGTATTTATATGCCATATGCGGTACTTTTTAAAAATACTGCACCTAAAGGGTTCTGCATTTCTAATTATATTTTTCTCTAATTATTTAAAAATTCGAAGAAAGCCCTTGCTGGAAACTTCCACAAGAGCGTGCCCGGTAAAGTATGGCTAAATTGATTTTATTGAGTCTGTTTTTCTGGGTGCCCACATATTTACATACAATTGTAAAGTGTTGTGCGTTAGGTAATCAGCAGTACACTTTTGCGTATGTAGCGCTAATTATCGAGGGTCGACGTTGTTTGTCAAACAGCATAGGGCGCAAGGTTTACAACTACAAGCCTTTCTATCTCGCCCAAACGGACTAGACAGAGAACGCGGAAATAATATGATTATATCGCTTTCTCATATCATAGCAATCTACGCTTAGGTCCTCTGTCGCGATCTGTATGGCGCTTAAAGTTGGGCCATAGTTCCAGCTAAAGGCGACGTCAGTAGGTTTTACTAGCGCCACTAGAGGAGTTATACTTAACCTAAGGTTAGGGCTAACATAACATCGTACTAACGTAGGACTCTAGTCAACGTGCAACGAACCTTAAACAGCGATAAATCGTTCGATAAGCATATACTTTATTAAATAAATGTTTGGACTGACATGTCCATTGAATACTAAACACGCAATAAATTCAAGTGCTGTGCTACTTGGAATAAAACATATTATCTTTTGTTGTTTTTGGTCCTTCTCTACAACCCATTCTGTCCTTTTGAAACCTCTAATTTCGTCCTATACCAGCGCAGAAAATAGTTTAGCTTTGTGTAGGAGAGGGCGCGTCACATCCTATGCAGGCCATGAGCGCACTAACCAAAAAACCGATTTCTAACTGTTTAGGAAGCGTTTGCAGCGGCAAAACCGCCACAAAGTAACGCTTCAAACCATCGACTGCAAACGGTAAGTGTTTCGTAGTGAAATCCTGGAAACTACGTTGTGCTGTTCCATAATAATCTGCACCGATTTTGGAAAGACCACTTTTAAGGAACTATTTTTTTAATGTTATTTTTAATTGTATGTAAGTACAGGTAGAGCTTGTGAGAGGGTGCATAAAAAAGCAAAATAGAGGTAATGCGAGCGAAGGTGACGACTGGACTATCATACAACACCTGCTTTTTCCTTCGAATGTGAGGTAGCCGTTGACGTACTATGTTAATATAAGTATTAATGGGAGTTTTTGTTGTCAATGCGTAACCCTTATATAATAGTGCAACAACATCTTAGCTGAATGCCAGGACACCATCGAAACAACAACAACGAAATAGAACCCACCTTACACAACTGCAATCGCTTGAAAATACCGCTTATCATCATAGGTAAGCGATCTCTTTCTTCCTATTACTTGCTTACTAATATATGATAGAATGAATTGAACCTATGTTTCTCTTAATTAGCTTAGGTGTCAAAAATCCCTAACTGGAAGCCTTTAGCTTCTTCAGTCGCCCAAAATCCATGTTCCATTTCTTTCATAGCATTTTCTACATCGAATGTAGGAGATACCTCCGGTCGCTGAAATGCGGTAACATAAAAACTTTAGTAAATAGAAAATGCCTTTAATTAAATATGAATAACAGGCGAGATAGAACTAGTATCGGGCTACTTTGAAGTTCTTACCGTTTCATTACTGCAAACTCATTTTCAACTTGAAGGATCGTATACATTGTAAGGACTTTCATTTTCCTCTGATAGTATCCATACACTGCTCACCCTAATCTAAGTCATCGCTTGGAAAAATGCGCTCACTATAGCTTTGCCTTTCGGAGACTGTTTGCTCGTTCTGGTGACACGGCATACAGAGAGTCACTTATCGTTGGTACTACATGCTAGCTCAACAACGCTTCGAATGAGTCCGTAATATTGTCATTGCCGCATCGTCAGCGTCGCGTATTAGCAGCATGGCCTTGGCGGTCACCGATGTCACTCACTCATGCGCCACCAGCCCTTCGCGTCCGTCCATCGTTGACATTTTTGTCAATTCGTTTATTTCAATTGAAAAAAAAAAATAAAAAGACAGATAATAGGTCTTAATGTGATAGAAAGAGGTGGGGTCGTGCTTCGCTACTGTCTGCTCGGGCGAAACAAGGAAAGGTCTGAAGCGAGCCCAAATAGAAAAAGAAATTTATGTGAGGTCTTTTCAAGGAATGCTATTTGCGGCTCTGTGCAGACGAATCGCACTTTATAACAGTTCCCTTAGCCATAAAAAATGATGCGTGTCGATAAACAGCTCTTCACGATATTACCGTCATGATATTAGCGACCAGCGCGGCAAAGTATTACTGCAATATATGACACAGAAGAAACCATCACATTCTCAGCCTTCGTCAGTTCAGCTCGAAACGTCACAATTACTCTCAGAAGACATGGTTAAATGTCAACCCAGTAACTAATTTCCCTAAAAAACAAGTATTTTTGTCTACACAAAATCCCGTCTTGCGAAGCGCATCGGAAAAATGTGGCGAGAAATGGCCAATTTTCAACTAATTGTCCATTTACGGCCGAATATGTATATGCCATTTAATAGATATGTTGCAAACGGGATGTAAGTCGGGAATTACCTGAAGAAAGCATTCAGTGACCTTTGCAAGAGACATCATCGATAAGAGTCGATCGCGCAGAAAGGGCACTGGCTAAACGGGCGGGTCCTCATGCGTTCATCAGAGGAATATTTGCCGAGCCGTCTTTAAAGCGAATGCTTTATTGTGGAGCCGGCAATGCAAGATACCTACTTCACTCAGCCGACCTTATTGCTTGGATTGGCTTAAATCACACTTGAAACAGTGGAACAGCAATACATGAATTGACAAAAAGTTGAATATGTACACAGCTGCTCGTCAAATTGAAACTCAAGAATATTTAAGAGTGCACCAGCTGAAGGCAGGAGACACTTGTACACGGGTATTTATTACTTGTAGGATCTTAATTGAACGTTCGACGAAGACCTATTTAGGCTCAACAAACTTCACCATGCAATATATCTTTACGATTACATTTTTACAATAAAGGGTTTTAAAGACGCGCATCCAGTCCTGTGTTTCTATCTGTACCTAGGTTTATGCAAACTCTAGTGCAACATGCGCGACACAGCTTACAGTTAATTGGACGAAAAATAAGTTTCGAGTGAGGATATTCATAGACAGCGTCCCGGAAGGCCAAAACCATCAGCGAGCTTCACCACTCAAGAGGGCATCCCAAGAATCTATGAGAACATTAAGTCGTAAGCTTGCTATCAAGAGATCATCGCATTTTAAGACGCTATAGATGATAAATTACGTCTATCATTACAACAATGACACATACCATCAACAGAGGAAACCCGGGACATAGAAGAAAGAAATTTGGCGCATGGTTATGGAAAAATGCAAACGGGGTGTGCAATTTTCAAGGAGGATCATGTGGAGCAATGAAGCCACATGGAAGTAATCGACGCAGTTGAAATTTTGGAGTAAATGTAAATCCATACATAACAAGGTAATACCATGCTAAAAGTCGCAGTGTATAGGGCGGGATTTCAAAGAAAGAATTAATTAGACCGTTCTTTTTTTACGGTAAACTGGTATCAATCGCTTGAATTTATCCCAAGAATCTGTTTTACCACATATTCGAGATAACAAATTTCATTTCAAATAAAACAGAGCAAACAAAATAAACAAAACAAACAAAATAAGGGGGTCCACAGAATACGCTATCCATTCCCCGCTAACTGGTGGTACTTTACGATAAAGTCTACGACTCAGGAAGAAGCAGACGACTGAGGAAGATTTAAACGCCCATTTCAGCAATAATGCGTCATTGCACCGAATGAAACGTTTGTTGAAGTCTACAGATTATTAGTTGTTGACTATTAGCAGTAGTATACTGACCAGAACGGTCACAATTTAGAAGATCTGCAGTATAAGGAAAAGTTATACATGTTCCTTTTCATTTTATAAAATTAATTTATAAATTATGAATAAATATCTAATTAAATGGAGGCTGTAATAAAGTGATAAGCACTGTATGCATTTTTTGGAGCAGCCTATACATAGTAGACATTTATGTTTACCTGGTACAGCTTTTCGCCTATCGGTCAGAAGATTGGACGATAACTCCTGGTATTTTATTATCGATACGTTTATCAAGCCCACATAATTGCTGGAAATATTGCTTTTCTCTTACAATATAAGATGGCCTTTCGCGATCCCAACTGAAGTACTCAAGACAGATCTACAATTGGTGGCTTTGAAAATAAAGATGTACGAAATTTCCTATGAACTCAAATTTTGTCGGACCAACTCGATTCCAAAAACAGTTTTACCAGACGTTAGAATGTTTCTCTCAAACATTGGCTTAAATAAGTTCAGGCGACATGGTGCATCGAAACAAGTTAGTATTATTTTGTGGATCTATTGAGAATTAAACTTGTTAACAATGCGCTAACCAAACCAATTAAGGTTATAGCCGTCTAATCGGCACATTATAAGTGTTCATTTCAGGTAGGTATTGAGAATATATTTGGAATGTTATTTTCCGTGGCGAGGCCTGCAAAACAGCCCATGCAGATGCAGGTAAAGAAGGGATAATTGGCACCACGGCCTGCCTGCAGTGCATCCGAATAACGTATCGACATTGCCAACGGCTTACCGCTTGTGCTTGTTCCGGCAAATGTGCAAGATCGAGCAAGAACTACTTGAAGCAGCCAGGACACAGGTGCATAAGATCTTTGGTCAGGCCCTCGCGTTGCCTGTCGTAAACCGACCTGCTGGTCGCCAACTGCTCTCCAGCCTCTATCGCGGATTAGGGAAATTAGATTCTGTCTGGCTGAGAAATCTGACCAATCCCCAGCACTGCTTATCCCCGTCTCGGTACCCACTACCTTGGTTAGGTTTTTCCGCTACACCGTATCAGAGGCACGTAGCTTGAGTACACCCAAAAGACGGTTTTCAGAATCCACAGTGCCACAAGCTCGGATCGTCATCTATGATTGATACAAAAACCACACCAAACAATGCCTTCCTTCTTTGCCTCTCCTTTCGCTCATGCTGTACCATTATTTCGCTTTTTTTTTGTATCTCCTCCAATTTAAGTAAACTTCTACAGCTCGCTATATGAGCGGCACGTCCCTCCCTCGAGTCTTGCACCTGTACAAGGTTGATATCGTTGCGTCGGCGAAGGAAAGCTGCCTTTTGCTGAATTCTTTGCACTAGGGTATCTGTGTGATGCTCAATGACTTCTGCATTAGCATCGCAATACTATCGCTTCAAAACGATAACTGCCGCTGCTGAAGGCCGCCAGAATAGTACCATTAACCTAGACGGCCAAAATAGGCCAACGTCGTATGCTGAAAAAGTGAAATTACGATGTTATCTTTTCTACTAGACAACAACATTATGGAAGGCTTTGTGGTGAAAATGGAATCAATGTTTTTTGTTAAGTTTATTCGCACAGTTAATAGGCTGAGCCTTTATCATTGTAGGACATTACGATTCTTTAGCAAAGAACAGATAATAAAATGACTGTATATCTATGAAAGCAATACAATTTGCAATTGTGCACCATATAAAACTACGACGATGGCTCCCACAACATTAAGTTTTTCATTATTTTCTAGTTTGCAGCGCAACTTAGACAATCTTTAGTGCAATTCCTGGTATACTTTATACTTGCTCTGGTTTAGTCCGTTTTCGATTTAAGTCTAGTACATTTTTTTATCGCACTGTCCGTAGCGAAAATGACGCTATTGCTATACTCCTGCTGGCCGGGATTTTTTTAATAAATTAATAAATTCTGTTCCTGTTTATCTCGCTAAGTTCACTTGAATACAGCTAAACTTACGAACTCAAATACAACATTAGAAGCAATTGCTTTAAGAGTACGGCTACCGAAGGGCTAGTTTATCCTGTAGACGTCCTGACCAGAGATACTCCAAAAGTAACCTATCTGGATATCTAAAAACGTATGCACGAAACAAATTCAATGCCTACTCACAAAAGGAGAAGTAACTTGTTCCCAACGGTAGCTAGATTCAATTTGAATCATCGGTCACCAACAAACTATTTGCACATTCTCATCGACATACTGGTTTAATTTAAAAAGTAGGCACCAGAAAATTGTGTGGGACATTAAACATGAGGTTCAACAAACGCAGAGGTGACAACAGGAAGGATTCACGCCATAGTTGTTATGTGGGAATAATTCCATCTGTAAAGCTATGATCACTCACTATATATATATATATATAATGGATTTCCTTATCGAGGGTGAATAAACTCTTTCGAGGCAAGAAGTGGACTAAAGGCGAGTCTATCTGTGTGTCTGCGAGAACGATAACTGATTGCCTGGTCGTTGATTCTACGGTACCGACTGGGCCATTGTGTTCTTTTTGTTAACGTAAGGTCGATAAGGGAGAGTACGGTTCGAAAGCTCAGAAGGCCGTTTAAATAGGTATGCGAAAACGATATGTTTATATCGTTTCAGAAGCAATCATGCGGCAGGCTGATTTATTTTGTATCTAAACTTGGTAACGTGACGCAGCTTAAATACGTAACGAACTATACGTGGATATAACAACACAAATTATTAAGAAACACCCTATAAGTAAACCAAAAGACATAATACAAACTATTGCTGATTCATTTAAACCATGCAGACATTTCGCGTAAACGCTAGATATATTTAATTCAATCTGTATATATGCAGATATAAACAAAAAAACGAACGTTCTTAGAGGTTATTAATGTTATAAATCGAGGGTCAAATAACTTTTTTACATTTTCCTTGCATGAATTTAACGGCTCCAATGAACAAATGGGGATCCATCGGTTTTTGATAAAAGAAACAGTTGCTTCACCTTCTTGGGCTACGCCCATCACGGCACAACCAACAATTTAATGGTGATTACGTTGGTACAAAAGGGAACGCCAGACCGTTTTAAGCACCGAGAGGTTTTGTGCATGCGGAATACGACCTTGGCATCATCCAAGAAGTCACCTAGATATGTGACATTATTAAATAATTAATAAATAAATTTAAGGTTTTGGAACCTGGTGTAAAATGTTGGTTTCAATGGTAATGGTTCAATGGTTCAACGTTCGCTATGAGGCGAATAGTACCTATTTCTGTTTCGGCCCCTCATAGCCAAGGACAGTAACGGAGTCCTGATGCTTGCTGCCGCTAAAGGTTTTAACATTAAACGAATATTAATTTGTTTTTACGATAATAAAGCTAGCACGCTTTACTATTATAATCGATAAAATAGAAAAAAAAGTTTGTGTAATTTAGAATATATAAAAATATTAAACCGCTTTTAAACCATTTCTTGAAGCACATAGTTAAAGGGTAGTAAAGATTTGAAAATTACTTGCCGAAAAATCCCGCAATGTTTTGCTCTTCCATGATATACGATTGATCCAGAACCCAAATACTGGAATATCGGAAGTATAAGAACAACTAGCCGTTAATATCTTCTCATCTACAGTGTTTACATGTCACCGACAACAATGGCTTCAAAATGGCCGTGCTTCACAAACGCTTAGTCGATATCAGAGACTGGCCAGGATGTCAGCAGTGGGTGGCATACATCTAGGTTGTCGACGAACGAATATTTGTACCTTGACGTAAGTTAAGCCGTTCGTACTTCTAAAGAGGACTAAACGATTCCTGTTGAGGGTGGCATATTTACATCTTTGATTTTAAATAACAAGAATTAAGCCCAAATTAGAGATACATTTACTTTTCAATTATCGTATATCTTCAGGGTTTAGAGTGCTGAAAACATGTGGAAGGCGGGCTGTCGCTGTCTTCACGCGAGGAAATTTATCGGAATTCGCATACGTTATTAAATGCAGTTTCTGTCTGCTTTGACGATTCATCACCACCACATAACCTTTTGTGGGAACAGAGACGACCCGCTGTTCAGTCATCCTCTGTCCATGACCATGTTTGATAAGAACTATTATTGGCGCTCTAGTGATTTTGGGTGGTATGAATCGTTACCTTGAGCAGGCAATACAGCGCAAATCTGATTTTAGACGCTAAACATAATATCTCCAACCTTTTACCGCTCTCGTATGTATCGATCTATGTGCCAGATAACATTTTATACAACATATGATACCTAATATTAATGG